AGGGGGAGAAAGGGAGAGAGGGAGGGAGAGAGGGAGAGGGGGAAAGAGGGAGAGAGGGATAGAGAGAGGAAGAGAGAGGGGGTGAAGGTGAGATGAGAGAGTGAGAGAGAAGGTGAGAGTGAGGTGAGAGAAAGTGGGAGAGAGGGTGATGGCGATGTGAGAGAGAGTGAGAGAGAGGGTGAGGGTGAGGTTAGAGAGAGTGAGAGAGAGGGTGAGGTGAGAGAGAGGGTGACGGTGAGGTTAGAGAGAATGAGAGAGAGAGTGAGGTGAGAGAGAGGGTGAGGTGATAAAGAGTGAGAGAGAGGGTGAGGTGAGAGAGAGTGAGAGAGAGAGGGTGGGGTGAGAGTGAGGGTGAGGTGAGAGAGAGGGTGAGGTGAGAGAGAGTGAGTGAGAGAGAAGAGTGAGAGGTGAGAGAGAATAGTGAGAGGTAAAAGAGAAGAGTGAGAGGTGAAAGGGAAGAGTGAGAAATAGGATAGAGGAGAGATTAGAGAGAGAAGAGTGAGAGGTAGGAGAGAGGAGAGAGAGAAGAGTGAGGAGAGAGAGAAGAGTGAAGGGTAGGAGAGAGGAGAGAGAGAAGAGTGAGGAGAGAGTGAAAGAGAGAGTGAGGGTGAGGTGAGAGAGAGTGAGAGAAAGGGTGAGGGTGAGATGAGTGAGAGAGAGGGTGAGGGTGAGATGAGAGAGAGTGAGAGAGAGGGTGAGGTGAGAGAGAATGAGAGATAAGGTGAGGTGAGAAAGAGGGTGAGGTGAGAGAGAGGGAGAGTGAGAGAGGGGGTGGGGTGAGAGAGAGGGAGAGTGAGAGAGAGGGTGAGGTGAGAGAGAGCGTGAGGGTGAGGTGAGAGAGGGTGAGGTGAGAGAGGGTAAGGGTGAGGTGAGAGAGAGTGAGAGAGAAGAGTGAGAGGTGAGAGAGAAGAGTGAGAGGTGAGAGAGAAGATTGAGAGGTAGGAGAGAGGAGAGAGAGAAGAGTGAGAGGTAGGAGAGAGGAGAGAGAAGAGTGAGGAGAGAGAGAAGAGTGAGGAGAGAGAGTGAGAGAAGAGTGAGGAGAGAGTGAGAGGTGAGAGAGTGAGAAAAGAAGAGAGTGAGAGAAGAGTGAGGAGAGAGTGAGAGAGAGGGTGAGGGTGAGGTGAGAGAGAGTGAGAGAGAGGGTGAGGTGAGAGAGAGTGAGAGAGAGGGTGAGGTGAGAGAGAGGGTGAGGGTGAAGTGAGAGAGAGGGTGAGGGTGAGGTGAGAGAGAAGGGGGGGAGTAAATGAGATAGAGAGAGAGAGGAGAGAGAAAGAAAGAAAGAAAGAGAGAGAGAGAGAGAGAGAGAG